GGGAGGAGCTGCTGGTGGGGGCTCCCCTGGAAGAGGAGGGGGAGGGAGGAGGGAGGAGGAGGGATCGGGGACGGACAGAGCCCCCTTTAGTAAAACGTGGTTTAGCGAAAACGACCCGAGGCCCGAACCTGGCGGGCGCAAGCCTGGAAAATAACGGCCACGGCGCCCTCTCGAGAACCGAAAACGGACAATTCACTAATCGACGTGGTCCTTGTTGGGGGTTCTGTCCGCCCCCGAACGGAGGGAGCACGAGGAGGAGCAGCGCCGGCGGCGCGGAGACGCGTGTCGACGGGGCCGGGGCTGCAGGGCGGGCACGAGGAAGGCGGAGAGAAGCTGCAGGGGGGCAGGCCCTGGGTGAAGGGGAACTGGAACACACAAAGAAATACACACAAATAAAAATATCCCCCATATTTTCCTATATTTTCTGGGTTTCTGTCTTCCCCCCCACTTCCCATATTTTTCCATATTTTCTGGGAATCGCTGATTAATTGTGTCTGTGTGTTTCTTCCTCTCCTGACTGGGTGGCGAAGGAACTGGGATGGAGGAAGGGCGGAGGAGTTGGGAGGCAACACCAGGGAGGTCTTCGTGAGACCGGCGCAGGGCTACTATTGAGACCGACTGGGGAGGTAATCAGCCGAATTCAGCTGGGATCAAGCTGGGATTGAGCCAGATAGCGCGGGACGAAGCAGGATGAGGCTGGAGCAAGCTGGCTTTAGATCAAGGATGCACCAGCGACGCTGCTGAACTGCACCTCCCAGGAGCTGCACCACGAGAGTAGGAAGGGAGGACAAGGGGGGTAGCAGGAACTCGAGGACCATCGACTACTCTCGGTTGCCGGGCCTCTGCCGCGGAGGTGGAAATGGAAGCGGCTGCCTCCCGGAAGGGGCCCGAGGGGGGCACAGCTCGGCGCGTGCCGCCTCGTTGCTTGAGGAACCGTGCGGCGAAACCGTCGGCTCTGGATGCCCATCAGTCCCCGTCCAGGGGATGAAAAAACGACCCTACCTTGGGTTGTAAGTGCGTGGTCTGTAAACCTCCTGGGAACCCCCAAAGCCTAGAGCCGCCAGGACGCGGCACATCACGCAGGGTTTGCCCTGTCAGCCCACAGGAGTTTCAGCGCACAGCGCCTCGTAAACGAGGGTAGGGGCGTTTTTTCTGCCCTTGAGTCCAGGGCCTGCTTTGGCCAGGAATCAGCGCCGCTATCTGCAGCAGAACGCTGGGCAGCACCTCCCCATTATGTCCACCCTCTTTTCGCTGGGCGCCGAGGCCCACCGGAGGGGCCCGCCAGCAGGG